CTTCCTGCTCGTGCCAGGGTCACCTCCGCGCAGTATTTGCAGCCACGGGCAAACTGTCCCACCTTTTCACAGAAGCCGTAACTGTGAGAGCAGCCGGTGCTGGAACCAACTTGGAAGGGATGAGGGAAGCACAGGTCCCGCACAGCGAACAGCGTTTCCAGGCGGACTTTTGCCATGCTGCACACAACGGACGAGCGCGGAGAAAGTGACCCCTTCTCTGCAGGGCATGTGTCCTTTTCACAGTGACCTTCAGAAGCCTGACTGCCCAGAGAAAGCCTCCGCCACTCCAGAAGATTCAACACAATTACGCGCTGTAACATACACGGTCTCGATCCCTGCACAACACAACCACGAACGGCTTCAGACCCGGTACCCAGGAACCGCTCCAGGCATGGAGGAGGGTCTCTGCCGCTCCTGCTGGAGCAGAAAGGAGAGCACCAGAACAGCTGGAGCCGCTCGATCCTTGGAGAACCTCTGAACAGTCGGTGAATGTGGAGATCCCAAGTTCTGCTTCTTGGAGCTCCCTCCACGCTGAGCGGCACCACGTGCGGACTGCGGGGCGTTTGCGGAGACAGCAGCCTGGGGAGGGAGAGCGCTCGCCTCAGCCCTCAGCTGGACACGGCGAGGAGGATGGTCGCTCCCTCCAGCTGACGGGCTGGACCAGCGCCACGTTAACCTGCTGGCCAGAAAGGTCGGTGATGGCTCGTTGTTAGACACGACAGTGGCACGGAAGGGCTCTGGGGACAGAGGTGCAGCATATGCTCTGCACAGCATGGACTGGCAAACCTCTGCAGCGAACGCAGAGACCACCGCTTAGAGAAGTCTTCCCGTTTCTTCCACGGAAAATTGACGTCTTCCCCCGCCTGCATGGGGCAGGTCTACCACGATCTGGGCTGAGTAACTTGCGCTGGAGAAACCATGTAAAGCTGAGGACATGGGGCAAGCTCCTCACAGGATCCACAACTGCCAGCGCTCCACCAGATCCCAGAACAGATGCATCGGCACCCACCAGTGCTCACTGGGACAAGCCGCTCACCCACTCCGACAACGCCTCATCCCATCAAGTCCGCTTCATCTGAAACCGCATCCTGGAGGTCCCTGAACAGTTCTCGGATGCCCGTGACGTCCAGGGCCAACGTGTCGGGCGCAGCTCTCTTTGAACACTCCAGCCATGACTGCACCGGTCACCTGCGTACGCGGAGAGACCCCTCCACAAAGCGCCCTGGTCTGCGTTTGGAGACGGTAGGTGAGATGCCGAATACAGCACTGCCCCGTGTGTTTTTTCCAACAGTTAATGAAAAGAAGGCTATTAATAAAAAAAGTAAGGATTCCTTAGCACTTGAATTTGACCGGCTTTGGCTTCTAGCATTAACTCTCTGCCAGCCCGCAGTCTTAGTATCTGTGATCTCCCCATGTAGACAGGTACGTGGATACTCTTACGTTGTAATCAAGTCACCTCTCAGCTTTCTTTTTGATTTATTCAGTGGATAATCTCTTTCTTTTAGTGTCTCACTATCTGGTATTTTTTCCAGCTTTTGATTAATTTTTGTAGCTTTATTTTTTTTTTTATCTTCTCAGTTTCTGTGTCCTTCTGAAGTGCAGACACCCAAGTCTGACAGCACTCCAGCAGCGTTTCTCCTGCTGCCCCATAGGAAGGCAAGAATCCTCCCGAGCTTCCACACTCGCCCAGGGACAGCACCAGCGCTCCCGGCAGTGCCGCCCGTGCTCCTCGTTCCGCACAGCATCAGCGTTTGCCCACACTGACATCGGGTTTGCGTGAACAGTCCCCCCCTACCTCGCTCCTTGGGGTCTTCTGCATTTCCTCGGCCTCACTGCTCTGCACGTGGACAAACGCACCTTACGGGCCGTGAGTAAACCCAGAGGAAAGACGGAGCGCAGCACTGTGCAGGCGCTCGCTCCTGAGCCCCCAGGCAGCAGCTCGGGCTCTGCCACCAAGCTGGCCGAGCAGCGCTGGCGCCAGAAGCCGAGTCCCGGTCTCACTGAGAGCTCTCATCTCGCACATCGCACTGCTGAAAGTTGTGTTGTCTCTGCTCCCGGGGTTAACAAAGAGAAAAAATAACCCCAGAGCACAATTCATTCCATCTTGCGATGAAGAAGGATGAGAAGCAGTGTAACGAACGCAGCACCTAATCCTGCAGCGCCTTCCCCAGCCCCTTCCCAAACCCACCGGCTGCTACTCCTCACCGTGCCGTCCTTCCGCGCAGCGACACAGCACAACCAATCTGAAGGAAAATGCTGAATGCGTTTGGTGACACGCAGTGCCAGAGCGCTCCAGAAGCCAGGACCAGCGGTGCACGCTGCACACCCGCTGTCGCTCTCTCCAGGTTTGCTCTGCAAACCGCCGAGTTGGTTTAGCGGATCTCCTCTTCCAGGTCTGCTGCAGTACTCCCTATCCCCAGCTGCTCCCAGCCCTCCCTCCCACCGCTCCTCCATCACTTGCGAGGAGGAGGAAGGAGGGGGGGCTTACAAGCAGCCTGCCCGGCAGGGTCACCCCCAGCTCCCCAGGAACAGCAAAGCCACGCAGGGGCTGCCGGATGCGGAGGGGGTCCCTGCCCACGCCAGGAGGGACAGTTTGAGACATCGCTCTCTGGGCCGCCTTCCCACACCAGCAGCAGGAGAGGGCCACGTCTCTGTGCTCCGGCATGAGAAAAGCAGCACGGTGAGCATCACCCTCAGCCCTGCACCAGCAGACTACTGGAAGGTCACAGTCTCACGTAGGGGAAGGAGGATCACCAGCTCCGGCTCAGAGGATGAAGGGGACACCTGAAGCGATGACGGGCTCAGCCCTGTGCCCTGCCCTCAGCCTGTCTCACTGTGCCGCAATGAACCAAGCTGGATTTTTGCCTCCAGGCAGTGCTGCTGCACTACTATTGCCAAACCTTCTTCCATGCGCCTGTTCCACCTGCAAAAACTAACAGCATAGCTCTGCTCCTTTCCAGAAGCACCTCCGTCCCGCCCAGCGACTCCGCTCTGCGCAGACCCTCCCTCAGACCGCACACAGCCCCCCAGCTGCGCTCCCCGGCAGAGACAGGGGACAGGGGAACACGCAGCCCCATTACAGGGCAGGGTCCCAGTTCACTTAAGCAGACTGCAAACTCCTAGGACGTGGCGTAGGTTCCCTCTTCCACCCACAGCATCCCTGCCACGCAGGCTCCTCTCCAAGTCGCAGCAGAAACGCTCTCCCACACGCTGCTCCCGTGAGAACTGATGCCCCATTTGGCCGTTCCGTTGCCGCTCCCCTCTCTCCAGCACCCAAAGGTTCTGCTGTCCTTCCTCCTCTCCTCCACCACAGGCGATCAAAACCCTCTCTGCAGCCCCACAAGCCCTCCGCAGGCTCAGACAGACCGCCGTGCTGCACAGGGCCACCGTGGGGACACAACCGTCCCCCGCAGCCTCCCTGCTCTCTGCAACAAGGGGTACCCGGAGGGCGGCCCCCACAAGAGGCGGGAGACGGGCGCTGCCCGGCCCTGCGCCGCGGGCCCTCGCGCACATCCATGTGCACCTCACCTATGTGCCACGCGCACAGGAATCATTCCACACGCAGCATGTCCTACTCCTCGCCCCGGTGTGCACGCATAAAGCAACGGCACTGCACACAAACGTGTGCTTATCTCCCTCGGCCTCGCGGCAGCACGCCGTTCCAGCCGAGAGCCGGCGGTGCAGGCAGGGGAACCCCCTCTCTGGGGCAGCACTGCTGCCCTCTCTCGCCCGGACACCCTCCACCGGCTGCAGTTACCGTCCTGGAAGACTCTCTCCACGTTCAGTCCGTAGGTGGCACAGGTCTCGTAGTACGTGCAGCGCTTCAAATCATTGGAAAGCTTCCGTGCCCGAGAATCATCAATGACCCGGGGGTTCGTGGCGCTGATGGCATCTGGAAACCAAAGGCAGAGGGGGTTAAAAAGCAAGCGCCCGTGTCCCGTCTATCCGCAGGTCCCAGGGCACACTCCTGACCGACCTCCCTCCCTTCACGCACTGAGATACCCACCTTCATAGCACACCCCGGCCCTATAGATGTCTTAGCTCACACTCCCACGTTTGCAGAAAAATGGTTTTGTTAAATGAACCTTTTTAAATGAACCTTGCTAACTCTCCTAACCATCCAGCCACCGGCGATTCTGAAGACAGAGGGCAGAAACTAGCGGGAGGTGCGGCTGGCAAGGCAAGGCAGCCTGGATGTTAGGAACGGGACACACCACCACAGTTTCACACAACCACATCGTGAACAGTGCAGCTGTTGAAGACAACGGGACACTCAGTGACAGCAGACAGCGCTGGGGGCAAAGGTGCGAACAGTCTGACCCTGGGTCCGACTACAGCCTCATCCGCACGAGGGTGCACGGTGTTACATGCGTTAGAAACGACTAACGTTGCCATCTGTCAACTGGCCGTGGCTGCTGGGACGAGCGAGCGCTCTCATCTGCAAGTCCACCTCAGCTGCAGAGTAAAATGGATTTGCCAGTCTCGATCGTTTTAGGTCTCACGGCCATACCCTACAGATTAAAGAATCAGAAGGGAGAAATCATCCTCAGTTAACTGGGAAAGACGGATCTGCCAGGAGGCGCTCACAGTCGAGGCCTGGGGGGGCAAACACTGAAAAATAGGCCTGATTTGTACCCCCGATGGCTGCTAAGTGCTCGCATGTTTTGGAAAAACTACCTTCCCAAGGGGGATCCGACTCCTTGAAGACACACCAGGGAGAAGAGGGGCTGCAAATGAACCCTCTCAGGAGGCGTTGAAGGAGTCCCGGGACTCACACGGTGAAGAAGTCCCCCTCGAGCTCCCCAGTGGGTTGCTCAGTGCGACTGTACCAATGCTGCCGCCTCCCCTGGCTCTACGTCTGGGACAACGATCACCGACGCCTCTGCCACATCCCTCTTCCCCACTTCTGAGCCTCCACAGCACGTGCCTGCAACCCCAGCCCGGTCCTCAATGAAGATCACAGAATCACAGAATGGTTTGGGTTGGAAGGGACCTTAAGGACCATCTCCTTCCACCCCCCTGCCCTGGGCAGGGACCCCTCCCCCCAGCCCAGGTTGCCCCAAGCCCCGTCCAACCTGGCCTTGAACACCTCCAGGGATGGGGCAGCCACAGCTTCTCGGGGCAACCTGCCCCAGGGGATCACCACCCGCACAGCCAAGAAGTTCTTCCTTATATCTAGTCTGAATCTCCCTTCCTCCAGTTTGAAGCCATTCCCCCTCGTCCCACGGCTCCCCTCCCCGATCCAGAGTCCCTCCCCAGCTCTCCTGGAGCCCCTTTAGGCACTGGAAGGGGCTCTGAGGTCTCCCCGGAGCCTTCTCTTCTCCAGGCTGAACCCCCCCAACTGTCCTCATAGGAGAGGGGTTCCAGATCACTCAGTCTTAACATTAATTCCACAATCTTTAAATATCCGAAGTTTAACAACTTTGTTCTACGCTTAATCTGGGGTCCAGAGCAGACCCCCCTGCGACTCCCCTCCCGCTGTCACCGCCTGCCTTCCCAGTCCGTTTCCCCTTCGCCAGAACGGGTGGCACTGCTCAGAACTGGGTCCTGCCAAGACCTTCTTCCCTCGCACCCTCCGTCCTGCCCTCCCTCTCTCTGCTGTCACCCTGACGCCCGGACAGCGTCTGCAGCCCCAGGCTCGCTCTGCCCGGGCTTCGCCACCTGCAGGCTGGAAGGACACTCATTTCGGGAGAGCGGAGCTCAGACGCCTGCGGCAATGCCCTGCTTGCCGCCCCTCCCCGCCTCCTGGGCACCCGCCGCG